ATATTAAGGAATGAGGCAGCACATACGCAGACTTCTTTCTTTGATGGGTACTTGGGGACAACACAATCATGTCAGGCAGGATGAGGATGAAAGTGTAACATCAATTCCTTAAGCTTTATCTGAACCAAGTATTGTGTGGGTCAAAGTAGAGCAAGTCTAGATGTCCCATGTATTATGCAAGATGTAACCTTCAGTGAGTGGGTTGGGTTTAACACTGCTATGAGTGAGTGTGTATGGTTTGACGCCGCTTTTAGCAATATTCCAGCAATATCACGGCGGGGGACACCAGAAATGGGCTTCACACATTGTACCCATGTCGGGAATCGAACCCGGGGCTTCAGCGTGACGAGCGAACGCTTTAACCACTAGGCTACCCGACGGCCCCTGTACAAGGACATGGGGAAGGTCATCCAAAAATCTGACAAGCATTAGGGGAGGGTAATTATTTTCAGTACATTAGTGCATCAAAAACATCTCTCTCTGTTTTGAACAGTATTCCAGTTATATCATGGCATGTGGGCTTGATGTGGGAAGAGACATGTAACCGAGAACCACAGTGGGTAGGTATACTGTAATGCTGTCTAGACTGTGCACCCTTCCATCGTCAACACTATGTGAAGCATCTCCTTATGGCTGAGATTCCTTCATATCATTCCACAGATCCCAGTAGCACTTGAGGTAGCTTATGTGCTAGAAAGGTCGTACCTTTATGATAGGTATCAGTCCAGTGTTTCAAACAAAGCACGAAAGTCATCACCCTACTATTCAACCTTAAAGATTGTGAGGGTCTCTTGATTCATCAGCAAACCTTAATTTTGAACACAGCAGTCCCCGTATATATTTTATATGCATTGACATTGGTACATTATTCGCAATGACTAATCATAATTATTATCCACTCATAAAACAAAGAAGACTTGACCCCTCACACATTTCAACCCCAGACTTGCAGTGAGACACAAGGAAGACTTGACCCCTCACACATTTCAACCCCAGACTTGCAGTAAGACACACGGAAGACTTGACCCCTCACACATTTCAACCCTAGACTTGCACAGAGACACAAGGAACACTTGACCCCTCACACATTTCAACCCCAGACTTGCAGTGAGACACAAGGAAGACTTGACCCCTCACACATTTCAACCCTAGACTTGCAGTGAGACACAAGGAAGACTTGACCCCTCACACATTTCAACCCCAGACTTGCAGTGAGACACAAGGAAGACTTGACCCCTCACACATTTCAACCCCAGACTTGCAGTGAGACACAAGGAAGACTTGACCCCTCACACATTTCAACCCCAGACTTGCAGTGAGACACAAGGAAGACTTGACCCCTCACACATTTCAACCCTAGACTTGCAGTGAGACACAAGGAAGACTTGACCCCTCACACATTTCAACCCTAGACTTGCAGTGAGACACAAGGAAGACTTGACCCCTCACACATTTCAATCCTAGACTTGCACGGAGACACAAGGAAGACTTGACCCCTCACACATTTCAACCCCAGACTTGCAGTGAGACACAAGGAAGACTTGACCCCTCACACATTTCAACCCTAGACTTGCAGTGAGACACAAGGAAGACTTGACCCCTCACACATTTCAACCCTAGACTTGCAGTGAGACACAAGGAAGACTTGACCCCTCACACATTTCAACCCCAGACTTGCAGTGAGACACAAGGAAGACTTGACCCCTCACACATTTCATTCCAAGACTTGCAGTGAGACACAAGGAAGACTTGACCCCTCACACATTTCAACCCCAGACTTGCACAGAGACACAAGGAAGACTTGACCCCTCACACATTTCAACCCCAGACTTGCAGTGAGACACAAGGAAGACTTGACCCCTCACACATTTCAACCCCAGACTTGCAGTGAGACACAAGGAAGACTTGACCCCTCACACATTTCATTCAAAGACCTGTTTATCATTTATCAGTGCCCCAATTAGTACACATACAGAGCACCATAGCCTTGCTACAAGGCTAGACTAAGAAAAATCCATGGATGTGTAGTAATTCTATCCTCCTAATAGGCAAGTCTAGATATGTGGACAGTACTCCCATCTCTTTTGGGACAACTTGTTCTCATTACATGTATTTACATAATCTAGAACTTATGATTAAAACTAATAATTATTTCCTTAGAGACTTGTTCAAGTCTTAGAGCACCAGTGCTAGATCTCTAGACTGTACATATCTATGTCACAACAACTGTTGCTAATCCCCTGACAAGTATAACATTTTATTGTAGTCTTCATATCAAAAATGTGTTCAATATCAAATTATATTTCTGTTGCTTAAGTAAGTCTAGATGTTTATTTTTTATTCGTAGAGTTGGGTGCCTGGTGTGTTAAACTACTGAAATTATCCCTACACCCAACAATGTTGGTATTGTGCGGAAATAATTAAAAACACAGCACTTCATATATCATATTATTATTATTCTTTAAAGATCATCTTTTTAGTGAAATTTGGCATTATATTTTCACTTACAATCTACTTGTCCATAAAACAAGAAAATAAATTAAGTCCAGCCTTATCAAGCCAAACAACAACAAAACTGTTCTATTCTACCACAGGAATAAGAAACTGTACCCCCCCCCCAAAAATATTTACCCATGAATTTAAGGCCATATATATCATGATTTATATAGATATATATAGATATCTATATACATCAATATATATATGGCCTTAAATTCATGGGTAAATATAAATATATATATACTACTCAAAAGCAGTTAAGGATCACCTGATTCTTCCATATTACAATAGTTAATCTCTCATGCCATGACAGATTAACATTACCAATATGAAAGAATCGGGTGATCCTTAACTTCTTTTGAGTAGTATATATTGGGGTACAGCTAACCTTTCCTTTGATTCTAGAGAGGGCAGTCTTTCCAAGACCTGCCATGGCTTAAAGTGACCCACATTTCCAGAGATGGTAGTTGTAGATAAGCCTGTTCTCTGAGGCCAAGATGGGGATGATGGCCAGGGGCTACTGATGGACACATCAAGAGAAAAGTGACACCAACTGTGGCCTGGTACCAATAAACAGACCCCACACATACGCATTAGTGTGAAATATTATACAAGTGAGAGTGGCCTTATCTTTGTCTGTGTGGTCAGTTGTAAGGGCAATGTGTCATTAAGAGCTACTAAATAGCATCCCCCTGAAGAACATAATTGAGGAAAATATGCAACCACATCCCACGTTTATTAGCATTGAGTTACAATTACGTATACAGGAAACCATGACGCTATCACTCTATGCCTTTCTTCTTCTAGACTAACATCTAGTCTCTGAAATGAACATATCGTACAGAAAAAAAGTTGTTCAGTTATCTTAATAAAAATATAGTAAAAGGAGCCCAGTGACTCTCTTCATTTTCAGATATGATCATGATGATACTGCAGTGATCTAGACTTGCTAGGCTGTACTTGATATATTTGTATCAGGGTCTGTAAGACAGACTATTCTTCTTCAAACATCTGAAATAATCTTAAAAGGGTTTATAAATTAATCCTTAAATTTGTATGTATATATATGATCATCTCTTGGAGTAAAACCATGTTTGTTAGATTTCTATACTTTCTAAAACCAATATAGCTGGATAAGATGTTCCTCCTGTTGACTTGATGCCAATTAATTAAATTCATATATCTTGATTAATCCTCCAAATGAACCTTACATCATTAATAAATCTGTTAATGCCATATTTGATGTAACGCACTTGTCTCACAGATCATAATCAGAGACCTTTATCTTCTTCAAAATATACACTGATGAACGTTGCCAATAACTTTTAAACTTGTACAATTCATACATATTGCAAGGGTGTTATCACCTGTATTCTCATGCATTTATTTTATGTATATATACCATGTTCTTATTTCTGCGCCATAAAAATGCCCTGTTATGGTTCCAGGTCCCAAGGGGGGTTTTTGTACAATAAAAATTCTTCATTCTTGATTCTCACATGTGAATCAGATTCTCAAAAGTTTCTTACACAAGTACCAGATCCATTTGTCTGGCATATTGAAAGCATCACAAATGAAACCATTAACTAGTCACATCTGAGACAGCTCTGTACAAAAACAGTTGACTCATGTGATGATGCAACACCCCCACTTTGATAAAAATTTGGCTGAAAATATTTTTCTCCCAGCATTCCTTGCAGTTGTCAGCATGCATGCGGTTACCACTACACGTAACAGCGAAGAAGAAATCTAAGCTGCGTGAGAAGAAGCCGGCCCATCTCCAAACCAGTGTAATACACATAGATCCCACCCTCGCTCCATACTGGCCACCATTTGATGTATGGAACCAAACCCCGTAGTCACCTGACAGAAAAAATAACTTGCTCCTAAGACATTCTTAATGGCCATCATACCTGGCATTGCTCAAATAGCAAGGAGCCGCCTGATCCCGACTCCAAGATAATTTTCATTGATGTTGTTTTTAAAATAAGTAATGAGGTTGAAACTGAAGTTGGTTGTTGTTTTCAGAATATGTAAAATGGATTTACCTTCAACCTAATTCATGAATATATTATTGAAATTTTCATTAACATTAATGTTTGGTTTGAAACAAAATTTGAGGCAAGGAAACTGGTAATCCATATTCATTAACTGACCTGCAGGTAAGATGGATTAAAGTGATAAGTCATCATGATCTAATCACTTTGTTAATTATGTAAGCCGTGATAATTCTAACACTCATACCTTATAAAGACAGCATTCTTATTTACATCCAATAATCTTCACCTGACCTGATCACCATTTGTCATAGGACAAGATACCATGTCATCGTGCCGATTCACATGACCTGGATACAAATCTTGAACCTGGTACAACAGTTATGGTTCTAGAAGATGGAATCAAAACACACACAGTTGGTCAAACATGGCAGACACGATGAAGACAACTTGACATAAAAAACATAACAGAATGACAAGATGTAAAACTGAGTGTACAATTACCCTGTGCCAGGAACCCAAGTTCTTGTCAGCGGGCATGTTGACAGGACTGCAGTACATCCTCTCTGGAGTGAATCCCGAAAGAAAGGGGTTATCCGAAACAAGTCTAATGCCAGGAGCACGAGCAGACGGCGGGAAGGCAGCCATTGCTGTGGTGTAGGTGTAGTACTGTGTGAGGATGAAGGAACCGTGTTATCAAGCACCACTCATCAGCATGGTAGATACACGACTCAGGGCAGAACAGTGCGATGAGTAACACCGGCAATGGTCATGACCGGAGATATTGTCTGTCAAACAACTCCGCTTCTCTGAGAGGAAGTAGGGTTATACATACAATACATACAATCCTTAAGTTTCACCCAGTATACGATAGGACATATCCCACTTGTGTGATTCTGTCTTCCTGCACGTCAGTGCGCCCCAGAGGACAATTCCGCCTACCAGAAATGTTCAATTGACACAGCACATCATCAGCAGGTTCTTCCAGACTGTATATAAACACAGAAGTCGCAAGCTGTAAATATTACTCCTAATCCAGTATGGATCTGTGTGTCGATTGATAGTTTTTTTCCTTCCTGCTCGTGCAATTGTGCATTAAACTACAGCAGACCACTTGTGATATTATCCAGACGTGAAACTTATCCAAGTACAGTGGTATGCTGGAGCTAGTTAGGGAAATCCTCACTCCACACTTGAGATAGTATCTGTCCTCCCAGCCTGCCTTCCTCCCCTCCCTCAAACAACTGGTGGCAGCATGGACGACTACCTTGTCCAAGTTTTTGGTGTCAGAAGTGGGATATTATTACTTCTGCCTGCGCCATGAGTTAGTCATCTCTGATTATATAAGACCTAAACGCAGATGGTTCACATTAGAAGTAAACTCAGTCAATCTGAAACATGGGGCCAGCCTCTTCACACATCGGGAAGGCCTGACAGAAGTAGCAGACGCGACTAATGAAGATGCTGACTACACCACACTTACAGACAACTTCCTTCACCCACTATGCCCTTCTCTCTCTCCCATCCCAATGGCCACTGAGGCTAGTCAGCTGGGTGTAGGTCTCCCCTGGTCTAAGCCTCACTGAAACTTGACCCGTCTGCTACAGCATATAACCACTCTCACCTCTGGATCTTGCTTCTGGAATGCCACTCTGCCACAAACAAAATTAGTTTGACAGTGCATAAAATACAGAGATTGCCCGACTGGTTGGAATACCTAAACTGACACAATCAGTCTGTCAATATTTAACTCCCAAATCCACCGTTTCCAATCTTCCCTGATCCTAATCCATTAGGCTGAAACACTTTATCTACTTTCACATCAAAACTTTTGCAGTTACTCAACCACAAAACACATAAAACTGCACCAACCACAATGAAAGTCAAATCAATTAAGATCAGTGACCATTACAACTGAACATGTCATTCAAGTCCCCAAGAGAAAGCAGTGGGTCAATAGTCCACCTTTCCATGTCAGTGCCGATCACTACCATGGGGACTATTACCCATCGCATTAACAACTGCTGGGATGAAATCTCTTCACAAACATGTGGATCACCTGAATGCTGCTGATGCATCGCTGATTCTCCAGGGTAGACAAGGCTGTTGTTTTCATAGATGTGCTGAATCCATATAGCATCATGTCGACAAGGGTAATGACCGATGCATGGCTGGTTCTGAAGATTCACCGCTGATGGTATTTGAGAAGTTCACGCATTGGGAGATGAATTGAAAACTGATTTTATAAGGACAATGTCGCTTAATGCCATTTGTGTGGCTATAGAGTATTCTTGTGCAATGCATTTTGTTTAAGGATGTGAGCTAAAAGTGTCTAAAAAATTCTTGTATTAACATAGTTTCTTCTTGAATAGTAATTCCTACGTAAGAAAATTCTGGGACAGTTTCCCATCAACATATGAAATCATGGACACACTGACAGTCCTGTACAATGATACTATAAAAGATTAATATTGGTAAGCCGAGATGATTCAAATAGGCAAGTCTAGATGACTAAAATAGGCAAGTCTAGATTATTCAAATAGGTACAGGTAAGTCTTGATGACTTAAATAGGCAAGTCTAGATGATTCAAATAGGTATAGGTAAGTCTTGATGACTAAAATAGGCAAGTCTAGATTATTCAAATAGGTACAGGCAAGTCTAGATGACTAAAATAGGCAAGTCTAGATGATTCAAATAGGTATAGGTAAGTCTTGATGACTTATATAGGCAAGTCTAGATTATTCAAATAGGTATAGGTAAGTCTTGATGACTAAAATAGGCAAGTCTAGATTATTCAAATAGGTACAGGTAAGTCTTGATGACTAAAATAGGCAAGTCTAGATGATTCAAATAGGCAAGTCTAGATGATAAAAATAGCTGAGTCTAGGTAATAATACGCAAGTCTAGATGATAATAATAGGCAAGTCTAGATTGGCTGTATTCCACAAATCAGAATGACGGAATGGGCTTTTACAGAAAGAAGTTTTTATTTCTTTTTAAACAGACAAATTCACACAGAATGATCCACTTAACATGCTTAAGGAATGAGCATGCTGAGAGATTGACGTAGACACATCCTATCCCACTTTATCCCACATCTCCTCTCCTCTCATCCTATCCTATCATTCTCTACACCGCATCCGCAACACAGTAACACACAACTCACCAGTCGTACACTGCATGGAACCTAGACGTGACACAAACTTTACCATTATCAGAACATATAATAGCCATGCACATCCACCCATCCCACTGAATTTCAGCAGTACCAGGGAGGGCGTGGAGGGCAATGTCTGCCATTTGCAGGATGCTTGCTACGAGCGAGCGTGCTCGGAGACAGGTGGGGACCAACTATCTGCAGGCCTTCCTGACTCACACCAAAACAATGTGCTGATAATCAACTTGTTGTCTTTGGAAACCATGCGTCTTCCACACGGGCCACAACAAAACATTTAGCCATCGGATCCTCGAGCGCCAGTGGGGAAGAGGGAGGAACCATCTTGTGTATATACACAACCTGACTGGTTGATGCCACAGTGGTAGTCATATAGGTTCAATGGGAGAGGTCATCACGCTCATCTTCAGCAGGAGATCCGATTTATCATACGTGTAGAAACTAGATATGTTGGCTCTGTTGATGACGTCACTGTTTCTCGCATATTATTTATGACTCAAAACTTAAAGAACACATGATTTTTTTTCATATGGATATTATTCTGACATGGCCATGACATCACAGATTAACTATACTCATATGAAAAAAAATTGGGTGTTCTTTAAGTTCTGTTGAGTTGTATACAATGACACCTTGCTTATCTAGACAGTACCATAAATGATATCGTCTGGATTACAATTTGATTCAAAAGTAATGTCCTTTGTACATACATAAACATTTCAAACAGTGACTGTCCATAAATAGGGGTTACCAGAATAACGGTGTCCAGACCAACAGGGTTTAACTGTATACAGCTATGTAATATACAAGCAGAATGCACTACTTTTATTGAGGAAAGTGTGAGTGAACGCTGATCACAGCAAACTGCAAACCCTACAGCTGCATCACACCTGGATAGAAGGAAAGTCTGGGCCACACAAACCAATGAGGGTTTATGTCACATTCAAGATGATTGCACCTATATATAGTGGTGTGACTGCGCGGCTGCTTGTACTAATCCAGACTTATTCCAGTTTTATAGTGCTAAGCCCAATAAAATACCTTGCTGAGATTTAAAATGGATACTCCATTCAGACACAGTACACTGACTCCAAGCCAACCAGTCCTTGTTTGAACCCCTTAATGCCGAGCACCAGTCAGGGTAACAACAAGTACCACCTTTTAACATCTTTGGCTACGCATTGTATCCTTCCTGGTGGTACATCATCTTGAATCATTGTGACTATCTGGACCTACCTTAGTTGGTTCAACCAGTTGGAGGTATTGCCTAGCCCTCTAATGTTAAAGGAATCCTGAAGGCTAGACTAATGCTAAGTCTCTGAAAATATATGATATCGATAGAAACAAACAACTACATTTAAACTGAAAAGTAGCTGCAGTTAAATGGTTTCTCCTAAACCTGGGAAAAAAATCTTGATTTGCTTTAGTACGGCCTGGGCGAAGGGAAATAACATAGTTCAGGGACTGGGACACAGACAACCTAGGCAACCTGAGGGCCCGCAGACGGCCTGGCTTTTTATTTATTTATTTTTCATTTGTTTTTGTTGTTGTTATTATTGTTGTTTGTTTTGATTTTGTTTTGGTCTTTTTTTTGTTTTGTTGTTGTTGCTTTTTGTTTGTTTTGTTTGTTTGGGGTTGTTTGTTTTTTTTTGGGGGGGGGGAATTGGTGCTGGGATGAAGGATGAAGCCATGGGGCTTCAGGGGTGCCCAGGTTAGTTTCTACTGCTAGTTCAATGGACCTATCCAGCCCAGACTCCCCCTCAAGATCAATGAAGAAAGGGTAGCATCTGAATATAGAAATGTCATTCTGCTTCCATTAAATACTGCAATCAGATTTAAGTCTGTAGAAATAATAGGTGATATTTATTTCTATTACCTGAACAAACAATATCAGATGCTTTATAGTGTTTAGGACTTGTTGACCATTGTAAAATGAGGAATTATTTCATTGTCCTACACACAATCATGAAAGAGTCACACAATACTTTATTACAATACAGAGCCATGTAATAACAGTGTTATACCACATCAACACACAAGTTATTACCTGTTGCCATAGAGCTAACAATACCACCATGTTTCGAAACTTCAACTTTATTATCATATGCACTGAAAGAATTCCCATCCATAATATTCCTGTACAGACTCTAAAAAGAGTGACATGCATTCTATTGTCATAAGAGCTGTAATGGTCTTAACACCATGCAATAACGGTATTATTCCACATCAACACAAGACCTGGTACAGAGCTATCAATACAACAAAGTTCTAGCCCTGCTCCAAGGCTGTACTGAATGATAAGTCCATGGATGTATAGTAATTCTATCCTAATCATAGGCAAGTCTAGATAAGCAGACAGTAAGGACACCAGTCTTTCATAGGGATAACTTGTTCTTATTATCTATATGATCTAGAAATTATTTATCAAACTACTCATTGCCTTAAGAGACTTGTGCAAGTCTACCATAGCTCTAACCTTCAAAATCTCAAGCAACAAAAGACTGCAGATAATGACATGGCCATTAGTTTGTTATATTAGTCAGAGAGTAGTGAAAAATTAGTTATTTTACATAAACCACTAGTCCAAAGCTGTAGACTAGTTGGATATGAACAATGGTGTCTACCCACTACAGCCGCTTACTATTGTGAGTGAGTGAGTGAGTGAGTGAGTGAGTGAGTGAGTGAGGTTTTACGCCTCTTTTAGCAATATTCCAGCAATATCACGGCGGGGGAACCAGAAATAGGCTTCAAACATTGTACCCATGATGGGAATCGAACCTGGGTTTTCGGCGTGACGAGCGAACGCTTTAACCACTAGGCTACCCGACCGCCCCTACCACTGACCGCCCCTACCACTACAAGCCATCATAGCCAAACACCTACACTAACATACAGTCTATGAAATATTTTATCACACAATACATTTTTCCCCTCTAAAATTAAAACAATTTATTTCAGGATGCTGATTTCATAGACTATGGAATAGAACTGGCTAGACTTGCTTTAATATAAATCTAGATTGATTCTGTTTTCATACAATACATATATTCCACAGTCATGGTGCAGGACTACCTAACACCGTGCAATAACAGGTTTATACATATCCCAACACAGTGTGACCTGCTACATGTTACACAGAATCAAGCACGCCCCATGTAGAACCCACCTGTGTTCTGCCTGCAACAAACGTGTGTACCATGTATACAGCAGGACAAGATGAAGGTACTTAAATTCAGTTTGTGTTTGGGTGTGACAAGTCTAGAGTTACACATATGTAACACATCCATCTGTTATTGGCTGCAGCAGGAGAGATTCCAGCCCAGTGACTGTCAGGATGAGGTAGGATTCACACCAGCC